GGACTCTCAGAATCGTTCCCCAGCTGGTATCACGGCATTCTCCCCCGTAGCCATTCATTGCCTACCCGATGCGTCATTTGCCCAGCAGCTCTGCAGCTGGACAGCTGGGGTTGCCAGTGCTAGCCCGGAGCTTTGCGAAAAGGATGGAGAAGAAGGCAAGGGCGCATGTGGATTGTTACACCTTGGCTTGCCATTCGGCGGCCAGCACATTTGACTACCGTTTAAGCGGGTTGTGGATTACGCGCAACGAACGAACGGTATGCCATTGTCACGCACTTGACGCACATACTTTCACAAAGTGTGGCTCTCCGAAATTCGTTGGACGGTCGCTGGACGCTGGATATGTTCAGCCACTGACTGCACAGATACCCCGTAACAAGATCCAAAGCAGACGCCTGCAGCGGTTTGTGGTGGGCAATCTAGGCGCAGTCTTCCACCTGGTTGGAACCCGAGGCACGGCATTGGACGGACTTGGGGAGCTGCTTCTGGACCCCCTCCCCCCCCCCCCCCCCCCCCTTTTTCTCCACATCCTATCAACACGCCAGACCAGGGTGCTTCTGCATGCCTACCGCCCTTGTCATCTATCACAAAAGGCAGGGAGCAGGTACCTCGAGTATGGATACCTCCCAGTCGAGCCAGTTGACCATTCCCTCTCTACCGAGTTCAAGAGGGCCTTATCCTTCTCCACTGGCATCGGGTTCGTGTCAGGAACTCTTGTCGCCATCTTCTTCCCCTCCAACCGTCGCTGCGTGGGATCTCCTTCATCCGTTCGCATACCGCAGCTCGTGGCGCATGAGTGCAGAGAGGTGTTACATCGGTCTCGTCGGAGGAATCGCTGCTCGCCCACCTCCTCTTGATTGCCCTTCTCGACAGGAAGCCATCCACCCATCCCGTCCACGCATCGAATCTGGTCTCCAGCAGCTTGCCTGTGTCTTGAGCAGACACTGTCCTTCTAACGGGAGACTGCGTCTGGGCGCCCCCCTCCTCCTCCGTCAGCTGCGTCTGCTCGTTGGCTCATCGAGTCACGTCGATCGCCCAATCGTGCTCTGAATCGTCTCGGTTTGCCATTCCATCGCAAGCATCTCCCCTGCGGCTCCCTCTGCACCAACCTTGGTCTCTGCCGCCGACGTGTGGAGATCGATAGCACTGGCACTGGATCAAGCTACTCTGCCCCAAGCCTCAAACAACCGACATATCGCCATACTTGGCTGGTCGTCCTCTCACCTCGCCTCGATCTTCACCTCACCATTGCCCTCATCTTAGGATCAGGCTTCACCACGCCGACACAGGACCCTTTCTAGCCAGAGCCACTAAGACAGGACGTGAACCAGTGGAGAGCTCATCCCCCCGATGTCTCAGACCGTACTGCACGCCAACAGGACTGTAAGGCCTTGCTCAACAACACTCGTCTGCCGCCCAATTTGATCAGTCACCTTGGAACTCTGCTTTCGAACGCCCCATTACTAGTCGAAATCAAAGCTCCTGCCACCTCTGACAGCTAGAGACTGTGCTTCTTTGCCCTTCACCACCGGACAACAAGCCCTTGCAACAGCCTCTGCCAGCAGTTTGGCTTTTCGGCTGGGCGCTGCGTTTGCACATCAGCTCTCCTTTTCAAGCCCCCCCTCCCCCCGGTCCTTCCTACGCGGGCTCCCGTCCGGCAACTTCACTCCCGCGTCAACAGTCACATCGCAACTTCTGTCAGCACGCTGCTCTGCGAAACCGCGGCCACAAAGTCCACAGGAGCGGTCTGATAATTAACTGACAGCTCGCCATCCCTTTCTGACGCAGCTCCTTCTTTCTATCTCCTGCACACGCTTGTCATCGGACTACATAGTAACGCGAACTTCATTAACGCAGTACTTGCGACAGCAGCTCTTTCTCGCACAAGCCGTACTCCGTCTAACTTGAGCACCTGGTGTCACATCGGCTTCTGATTCCCACCGCCGGGCCTCAACCGACATACGACTGCAGCGGGAGCGCAGTAAGCCAATCCATGCTCTGGTTCTTTCCTCACAGATTAGCACTTTTTGTCTGACTCGACCTAGTCATACGTCGTATTCAAGTTGCCTCTGGCTCAGCTCCACCAATCGATACGACAGAGTGCACACCAGCTCCGCTTGCTGTTCCTTTAAAGACAGATCGAACAACGACCCTCTCGTTACAGAGTGACCCGGAGCGGAGTCGCCTGAACTCACTTCGCTGTCATCATGGTCAATGTACGGGGTGACTGGTCAAGAGAGGCCTTCCCCCGACATCAGCCACAATGGCACCAGCACCAAGACCGGAGTGTTGAGACGACATATGATGAAGGGCGTTATCACGAACTAAATGACACTCGTCGGCCACCTCTTGTGAGATTGGACAGGCAATCAACACTGGACCGTTCTGACTTCGTTTACTCCAGGACATTGAGAAGGCTCTGCGAGAACACTGCAACATTCCTGCGCGGCACTACTTTGTGGCTGCCATACTCGACGATGGTTCCACGCAAACATTCTCCGGCCCAGGTCGAAACCATCCAAGCTCTGCCAGTACATTTTTCGACATGGATCGATTTCGACAGCAAGTGAGGAGAGCAGACGCCGGCGGTACGTCTATGTTGACATGCAATCCTTCGGCTACACGTACTTACACATCACAGCCATTGGCCCCATGCACGATGATCCTGAACTTAGCTATGCCAGTGAACAGTACAGGCAACAAGTGCCATTAGGATATGGATCCAGCGCAGCAGAGAGACGTCGACAGGGCAGCGAGGTGTTCGGTTCTGACGACTTTTCTCAACCGCGAAAGAGGGCTAGGGCGTACCGGCGACCAATCGATGACGATAGCGACATTCCGTCTGTGACGATGGGCCCTGTTACAAAGGGGCTGAAGATAGGCGACACCGATGAGGTGAGGAAGTTCTACGACCAGCGATTCAGGAACTGTCAACAGACAGCCTGTAAGCTCATCGCCAAAGCTTGGGTCAAGGTAGTCGAGCCCAAGAAACAGACCAACCACCCTTACACCGGACAAGAGGAGAAGGCACCGGACTGGTGGCCGAAACCCTGGGGCACAACGAAGGAAGAAAAGGTTAGGCACAAAGAACCTGATCATCTTTACAAAAGAGGTATGTGGCTCACAACAGCCTGCCCATGAAGAAAAAAACAACCCAAACCAGGGAATCTGCCTATTAACGCCCGTACAGAACGCGTTTACTTGTTGTGCCACATCCTTCGAATGATAGTGGAGCCCAACGAAAAACAGCACCCATCTATCCAGAAGATGAATCTTACAGTCGAAAAACTCAAGGAAGCGACAGAGGAAGCCTTGTCCATGTTTTTCTCTGCCAAGGAGAACCATAAAAACGCCAAGAAGAAGCCGTATCTGGATGAGATTTTCAAGGTTGCGCTCAGCGAACAGCGGTTCAAGCATGGAGAAATAGGTATTTCGCCCTCTGACCGTGGCCGCAGTGACGTCGCATGCTAACCGATGCAAGATGCCGATACACAGGTCTTCGTCATGGCCGAAGAGCGATTTCCAGGGGCTGGCATGTCGGAACACGATGATAGTGCTCCCGTCAAGGATGAGTGCGAGCCTCAGTCGGCTTCCAGTACGTCGCCTTCCAAATCTACTGCGACCCATGACACCCTTATGCATGGATCGAGTCACGACCATAGCCCTGCCGGGGGTCTTCAGGGCAGCTCGTACATGGATGGTCTGCCTCCTCGTGGAGGTGCGCCGTACACGCAGCAGCTGCTTCAGCCCAGCATGCATGCGGACCAGCATTTTGTCGACAGCGAGAGGCTTCATTCGTCAAGCGGTATACCGATGCACGATATTGGCCCTGGCCCTCAAGATGGCCACCGCAGGGCTTCGATTTACACTTCGCCTACCGAATATGCCAACCCACAGTCTGCGGGCATCTACAATCAGTCGTGGCAGCCAGGGACAACAGCGCCTGGCCCGGCCTCTATCTACCCATTTTCGTCGACACCCACTCCGCCCAGCCAATTCAACAATCATGCTGGCGTACCACTCGCCCAAACTCCTTTCATTGCAGCACAATACGACGGACTCTCACGGGGAAACTTTGAACAGGGTGGTATGTTCCCATCCGGAACAACTGCAAACCAGGGCCATGTACAAGGCTCTCAGGGGTTTCCCACGTACACAATAGGCCATGATGGACGGTCCATGTCCAATGCTGGTGTCAAGTCTGACACGCTGCCTCGGCTACAGTAATTTTGGTCCTTCAAGTCAGGTTTCTATCACCAGGAGGGACGGCAAAAAGCATAAATTCCGGCGGGGTTTCTGATTATTCAACACCAGTAACATACCAGGCGCAGGGCTACTCTACATATTATGGCGATCAAGATTGTGCGTTCTGAACTTTGTTGTCTCCTCCTGTTTGGAAGGTTGGGCGAACCCGTGGGATGGAGCGATTCTGTCTTGCCGTGCGAAGGTTCGCACTTGGGCGGGCCTACGGCACGTCACATTTGGCTATGCGATGCGAGCGTCATAGTTGCGTTTGGTTTTGGTTTGTTCACCGGTTTTGCTTTTGTTTGTTTAGTTGGTCCTTCACAGAACACGGGTGGCCATATCAAGCAAGGGAGCGGAGGAAAGGGAGCGAGAAGGATTAATGATTTGTGAGTTTCTTCCCTGGCTCTGTCTATCTGGGGGGGAGGGGCGTGACGCGATCAAGAAAGAGGCGTAGCGGCACGTATGATGGGCTGTATTGCTTATGTATTGCGTTACTCAATAACAGGAAGACTCCGGCGGCACGGACAGGACGTCGGATGTGTCGGTTCGTTGCTTGATGAGTTGATGACTGCCATGGGCACGACGGGCTGGCTGGGGCGGCTACCAAGGCTCTTCCCAAATGACAAGGCTTGTTTGCGCTGAGGCAGGATTTCCGCGACTACAGTGTGACCAAGATACTTGCAAAGTGCGCCGGCTGGCGGCGTTCCGACCAACATGACGAAGAATGGCAGGATCTGTTGAGAGCAACTCCATGGCAGCCAGGCCACCTGCGACCAAGACCAGACCAAGACCAAGGTGACATGACGTTCGTGACGTGCCAAGGAGCAAGCAAGCAAAGCAGCAACAGAAACATCACGTCAGGTCCCTCCCATGATGGCCACGCCTAGACGGTTCTCTGAATCGCTCAACCGCAGGTCGTGGGATCGAGACAACTCCACTTCATCGCCAGATACTAGACACGCGACGGCCGGAACAGAGCGAGATTTGATACATCGCATATCAGAAATGGCATCTGGCCCCGGGATATGGCTCCCACGCGACACGCCTTCACGTTTTTGATCCTAGGGGCACGGCAGAGCAGGAGAAGGCGCGATGGTACACACCCAGCGGAAGGAGCCGCGCTTAACCCACGCCCCTCCCTTCAAAAACCTTGTTCATGGGGTTGATCGGGTGGATGTACGCAGGGCGAGAGGGGGGGAGGGGGGGGAGGCGGACACCGAAGCATCGCCTGGTGGTGTTTGTTCCGTCGTACCCCGCCCACCGTGGTACGTGGTACGATACTGTTAGGGAAATAGGGCAGCAGACCCCACCTAGCGCGGGCTGATCCCGGTCACCGGTCCGACCGGTGAGAGAGTGGATACCCCCCTTCCCCCCGGGAGCAGCCGCGGGCCAGGATTCGTTTGCCTGGACCGGACTTTTTTCTCTGGGCCTGAGTCTCTCAGATTCTCCTCAACCTTCTCCTCCGATCTCAACCAAGATTTTTGTCCCCCCTCCTCTGGTGTTTTTGACTTTGGCGTCCCCGGTTTTTGGACGGAGGGGGGGTGTTCTTCTTCGGGAGCAAAAGTTGAGAATTGACAGAAAGCTGGCTGGAGGAAAGGGTTTTTGGCTTTTCCTTACACCGTGCACCCCCCCCCCCCTCCTCCCTTTCACATCACATCGCGCACACCCAGCATTCCCGCTCCCATTCTTGGGAGGCAGGCCCCTCGACTCCCTTGGTTAGCTAGATCTTGGGTTCCCATCATGATGGTGGAGACATCTGGGAATCGTGTCAAGCCAGCAAGGGTGGGTTGCAGTTGATCTTCTCGTCAGATTGGCGCTTCCTTCCGGCTGGGGGGCGGCTCCGACTGCCGAGAGAAGAGAACGGAGCCTGGTTCAGATCTTGGGGAGAGTTCGGAAAAAGGCTGAGCGAGGGCATGAGGATGATACTATCGATGCCATGTGACAATGTAAATGATGCCAGAGCCTTTCTGTGTTCTTCCTTTTCTTTCTCTCTCTCTCTCTCTCTCTTAAATGAGCCAGGCAATGTGAGGAGCCTGGTGACTGGGGTCCCATTGCGTTTCTCGTGGACAAACTCCAATGTCTGTCTTGGGCGTCACGAACGCGGGAAAAGAAACGAGCGATTCTTCAGCCATGCGCCTAGGCCATGGGTTTGAGTCTGGGGGCGTCAATTGTTTGACGACCATCGTCGGCGCACGCGGCCAGGCTGCACCGCAAAGCCTTGCCAAGGCTCTTCAAGGCGAAGCAAGCAAACATGAGGCTGGCCTTGCTCGTGCCTCTCACCTTTCATTTGTACTATGTATGCCTCTTTGTCCCTTTTTCTGTATGCCTGTCAAGTGAAGGTCACGTCAAAACTTGATTGATCACATCTCGTCTGTTTGCGTGTGAGCGCGCCTGCGACCCCCGTCAAACCTACATAGGGGAGTCTGCAGCAAGCTGCTCGCGCCAACACGACTCAGAGCCCTCAGATCCATGTCAATACCTCGCACCCACGTCGCCCGCCCCCCGCCCCCCCTTCCTATAGTCAGTCAGGGAACATGGGAAGAAAGAGCTGATGCAGTCGACAGATGAAACGGGAGCAAACAGATCGAAAGGAGACACCTGCAGAGTGGGGGTGTTTTCCGTTCCAGCTACCGGGTTGAGCTTGGTTTCCTCACCCCTCCTCTTTGCCTGATCCCCCCCCCCGCAACTACAGTACCTTGGCCGGGTTTTGCCTTGCAGACCAAACATGCTCTGCACAGCAAGCAAGCAAGCACGGCACACAACGAGACAATGCAGACGGCGGCTGCAACCTCTGCATGCGGGACCATGCATAGACACAAGCCTGCTCTACCCTCCCCCCCCCTTGCTATGGTGGATGCCGTGCTGATCCTGCACTGTTCGTGGGCTGCGTTGCGAGAAGCGGGTAGCGACGGAAAAGGGGGGGGGAGAAGAAAGAAAGAAAGAAAGAGAAAAAACCAAGTTGCGTCGCGTGCGGAAACTTGGCCCCCTTCATGCAAGCAGCGTGCCGTCTCATCCGCGCATGTCGTTGTCCGTCTCACGCGCCATCAGGCCATTGCATGGAGGAGAATCAGTTTGCACACACGGTTTGTGCTGTGGGTATCCATAGTCTCCGGTACACAGCGTCTCCGGTGGGCAAACGGAGCTGGACGCGGCGATTGGGCCGTCACATATATAGGAGCTACGGCGCCCGCTGGCCGGATGACACCGTGCCCGGACTGTTGGCTAGGTAGTGAGGAGGCGGCCTCAGGCAAGGCAGAAACTTGCCTGAGGAGGCAGATATTTTGCAGCACCATGTTTTCAACCTTGTTTTCTCCTTCTTGCTGCATGCTGGAGCTTGACAGGTTCAAAGTCACACAGGGACGCCTAGCTGACACCATGACCAGAGAAATCCAGACCAGCGAAAACTGTCAGGCCATTGGTTTGAACTGTTGAACGACGTGTCTCTTTTGACATCTTGGCATTGCAGAGAAAAAAATACGAGCCCCTCGAGTAGGGGGGAAGCATCCTATCAGACAGAATACTCCGACACAGTACACGCGCGCTGATGAAATTCCTGGCGCGCTTCAGAACCCCTCCTCCAGCCTTCCTTCCTGCCTGCCTGCCTGCCTTGTCCTTCCTGAATTAGTGGCGACCACTGCTCCAAATACTGGCAGTGCTCGCTGAACGCCGAATGCTTATACCAACGCCGGGGAAAAGAAAAGTAGATAATTCCAGACGATGCCTTCCTATTCGAGGAAGGCGTCGGATTCGCACACACTCCAAGTCATCAACACAACCACACTCGTCTCGAAATAGATCATCCCCCTTGTAGGAAAAGGGGGGCTCAAGGTGAGCCTCGCCACATCCGCGGGTCAACAGACGACTGGTAGCCTTCAAGCCAAAGGGAAGCTGCCTAGGCTCCTTGTGATCCGAACGCAACATGCCTGAGGTTGCCCTCTTCGTGTGACCATGTGCGCCATGACCACGGTGTGGCGACTCATACAAGCCATGCAGACCACGAAGGAAGTGCGGACGACTCGGGAACCTCGGAGGTCTGCTGCTGCGTGCTCGGCGGGGAAGATGAGGAATGCCGAGGTTGATGAGAACGGACATTCTAGATCGCTGCCGGCGCCTCGTCCTTGTTTTGCTGAGGCAGCGAGAGGCCGGCGTTTTGGGCGACGCGTTTCCATGTCTCGAGCTCCTTGTAGAGACGTTCACATTCTTGCTTGAGCTTGTCATTGGATGTGCTCAGCTCGGCGATAGCTTGCTCGGTAAGCAGCTTCTCCAGAGTCCACTTCTCCAGGTTCTGAGACTCATTCTCCTTCAGGAGATTGATGAATGTGACGGCGCGTTGGAGGATTGATCCTTTGTTCTTCTCACAGTTGGGCACAATCTTGGCCAGCTCGTTGATGCCTTCGTTAATCGTCTCACGACGGCGACGTTCCACTGAAGTCTAGTTAGCATGGCAATCCACATAAGCCGGTCTGGAGAACAAGGAGACTTACCCTCTTTGTGATTGTCCTTGCGCTGCTTGTGCCACTCGTCAGACCCAACATCGGGCTTCGACTTGGGAGGGGCACCTGCAGAGCCGGTCGAGTACCTGTGCTGGGCGGGCTGCGGTTGAGGTGGTGGTTGCTCATGCTGCTGCTGTTGTTGCTGGTGTTGCTCGAGGTGCTGGTGCTGTTGATGCTGCGGGTCCATGTGCGGGTGTTGGTCGAGATGGTGCTGCTGGTGCTGATCGTGCTGATGAGGATCGTGTTGGTGTTGATCATGCTGGGGCATCTGCTGATGCTGATCGTGAGTCAATTGTTGCTGCTGATCGTTCGGAGGCGTCAGATCATGAGGACTCCCAGACGAGGGCAGGCCGGCCAGAGCACTGTCGATGATGGTATCATGCTGGGTCATGTTGGGGTCGAAGGCCGAGTCAGAGACATGATTGCCGTCATTGACTCCTTGCGAGGCGAATTGGGCCTCGGTGGTCTGAGGTACGTGAATGCTGGGATACATGGATCCGAGAGCGGCGGCGGCAGTGCTCGAGGCGTTGGCAGGGTCGGCGGCTTCAGAATGCTCAGCGGCGGTAGCCTGTTGAAGAGCATTCAGGTCGGCCACGTTGACGCCATTAGCAGCGGCCGCGGCCGCGGCCTCGACGGCGTGCTCGATGAAGGCAGCCGTGTCGGCATCGGCAGCCGACATGATGGCTGAAGGGGCATTGGTGGTGGCGGTTTTCTTGGCACGGCCGGGGCTTTCCTGCTCAGAAATGCTTCGCTTGCGCTTAATGGTGGGCGAAGCGACTGGCGACTGAAGCGCCGAGAGGTCGGGGTGATCGTCAGCCATGTCGAGGCTTACGTCGAAGCTGTCGTGCGACGTGATGGGGGCCGTTGTGACGATGTGTGAGAGACCAGGTATAATAACCCGGATCTCGTCAGTTACGGTGGGATGGATTTTTGGGTAACAGGCAAGGGAGTGCCGTGTCTTAGACAGACTGAAGTAAAATCTTCAGATGCGCCGTCTGGTGTCGCTGCCAATGCGAATTAGTACGACAAAGGTTTGGTGAGGTAGCAATGTGCAGGCGAACTGCCCATGTCGCCATACGCCATATACGCTTGTAGGTAGGCGACGGTTGAATGCGCAGCGGTATGTCCGCTGATGAAGGCACAGATGAGCGACGATGAGTATCAATCAATTGCAAGATGCACAGTGTTGCGCGACAAGACGCTTCATGTAGACAACGGAAGACATGAATGCTGTTCAAACACGTCCATGTAAGGCGATAATCAATGCTGCCATGGCTCGTCCGTTGTTGGGGGGCGCCATTGGTGGGTCATGGCCATGATGGTGCTGCCTGACAGTGGCTCATGCGACCGTAAGGCCTAGGGAGAGCCATGGATGATGCTGTCATCAAAGGGAGTGCGACTTCGCAGCGACGATCAAATGGCGAGTCACAATTTGTCGTCGCGAGCAGATTGAAAGAATGCATGCACAACATGGCAATGCGATGAAGGATTGATGAAGTGCGTGATGCAGAAATTGACACGGGAGGTTAGGAAATCGCGTATCGACAAAGGGCGAAGAAAAATAAGACGGGAGAAAACAGCTGGTGAATCGGATTGAAATGCCTGACAGCAGCGATTCCTCGTGGTGCGCGATAGACGAATGCAAGGGCCACACAGGGTGTCGGTGATGAGTGACGAAGATGAGAAGCCGACATACCTCTCAGATCATGTGCCTGGAGCGGCCAGTGGACGGGCGAGGGTGCTAGGCGGGCTGCACGTGAGGAGGAGTGACTGCTGTGATCTCGTGATATCGCGCTGCGCGTGTCGCGCTGTGGGCGGGGGCAATAGAAGATGGGCGGGTTTGGGAGAAGGCCAAGCTGCTTTGACAGGCCAAAATGGTGGTGCAGGATAATAAAAAAAAAAGGTGAAGAACAAGTGAATATCAAGCGTCGAAGATAGGTTTTCAATGTTGAGCTGACGAGAAACCCTTAGAATATGGCCTTCTTCTCGATGGCTGTCGCGTCTCTTCACGTCTGGTCCAGGGGGGGGCAGCGGGCGGCGATGGGATCCGGCTGCGTACTGGAGGTGCAAGTGGTCAAGGTCACGGGGTGAGGACTGAACACGTGCAAAAGTGGGTGAGGCTGGCCATAAATATTGCTGGAAGGTGCAATCTTGGTCGGCGCCTGAGGCCAACACACCACCAGGTGCCAACAGACCAATGAGCGAGCCTTTTCGAGCACACCTTGGCTCAGCACCTGCACCCTGGCTGTTTCCGCCAGGGTGCCCCGTTCCAATGAGCTGCGACGGACGAGGGTTGCCTTGTCTTATCATCTCCTTATCGAAAACGCGGGTAGGCGGGGCTAGACCAGTCTTCGTGCGAGCCCGAGCACACCGAGCCTCACCGGCCATCACCTGATCACTGTACTGGATGCACCCTCGGAATCACTTGACTAGGCTCGAGTGAGACAGGGCAAGGCTGCTGGTTGTTGCCATTCGCGTAAGCATGCAACATGCTGTCGCCCTGGAGTTCCGATTGATCAGCCGTGCGCCTGTTGGCCACAGATGTGGCTAGAAGTGGCATGTACCATGCATTGCCGTGGGCAGGCCCTCTGGGCAACAAGTTCCAGGTATTGATCCACGACAGAATGAGTGTGTGTTTTGCCGTATTTCTTGTGACATATGTCTCGTGACGTATGCTGTAGTTAGCATCCCAGGGAAACATAGGACCTGAACTACGTCGATAGGTTTGAAGTGGAAACATGGGCTCCTATCTGGAAGCCTACCTTGCAGGTACCTTACCTCAGGCATTAGGTCGAGAAGCGGCCGAGAAGAGCCCCACTATTCCCGACCTGCATCACGTCAGTGGTCCGATGTCACTGACTGCAGCTCCAGCCACAAGCACCCAGAGCTCTCCGTGAGCCTTCTACCCAAACCTCGACCCCTCCACCTTCTGCACCCGACCATCCGACGTCTGGCCACTGGGAAATCCCATCAAAGCTGCCGCAAGCCCGTACACCACCTCTCAGTGTCGACCTCAAGCTGTGGCAGCCATGGGCGACCACCAGCACTCCACCATCAAACACCAGGACCATGTCCTCCTTGTACGATTCCTACGATTCCTCACTCGATGCCAGCACCTCACGAGCACAGGAAACTCTAGCTGACTCTGCCACTCTCAGGACCAACCCCTCCTCCGCCTGCCGTACGAACTCTTACGAAACAATTTTCGAGCAGCTCACTTCACCGTCGAGAAGGAGAGCACTTCCATCAAGGCCCTCCTCAAAGACACGGCCACCGCCTCGGTCAATGGGCGGGCCTCGCCCGATCAGGTCTTGCAGAATCTCGACGCCATGATCGCCAAGATGCGGGGCGTCAAACGAAAACTCACGACCTATGCCGACGAGGAGGCCCGCCTCTATCATCAGACCGAAGCCCGCATCGCCCATCTAGGCGAGCTCTATGGCATGCACAGCTTTGACGATGTCAAGTACGAGACCTGGAGCCGTAAGAGGCTCGACCGCCTCTTGGTTGACTACCTTCTGCGGCAAGGCTACAACGACAGCGCCCATGCGTTGACTGCAGAGAAGAACATGGAGGATCTCGTCGACGTCCAGACGTTTGTCTCGATGAGCAGGATTCAGGAGTCATTACGTGGTGGCAGCGTTGCCGAAGCACTTGCTTGGTGCCAAGACAACAAGAAGGAGCTGCGCAAGAAAGATGTATGTATTTTCCTCTATCTGAGATCGCCATCTCAGTGTGGGGCTGTCACGCTGACAACTACCCCTTGCAGAGCAGTCTCGAGTTCATGCTTCGCTTCCAGCAATACGTCGAGCTCCTCCGCAGCCACAAGTACCTCGAGGCCATCGCCCACCTCAAAAAGTACATCGTCCCCTACAAGTCTGTCTACCCGGACCAGTGCCGCAAGGCCTTTGGACTCCTCGCCTACTCCGACGCCGACGCGGCCGCCAACACAACCTACGCCGCCCTCTACAGCCTCGACCGCTGGACCAACCTCGTCGACATATTCACCAACAACCACAACGAGCTCCTCGCCCTGCCCCGCCTGCCCCTTCTCCACATCGCCCTCTCCTCCGGCCTTTCTGCCCTCAAGACACCCGCCTGCCATTCCTCCAGCGCCGTCGCCTCCTTCACGACCACGATACCCTTCTCCCCGGAACAGTACCCCGAGACCAACGCCGGCATCCCGCTGTCCTCGTCCAACGAAGCCCAGCGCTGGCGCCAGTCTCAGCAGCAACAAGACCACGACATGCAGCCAGAGCCCTCCGGCGACGGCGCCCGCTCCCAGAATCCTCACCCCCACCACCATCACCATCAACAGGCCCGCCCAGCCGCCATCTCGAGCCCCGCCGCGTCCTGTCCCATCTGCTCCACCGAGCTCAACGACCTCGCGCGCAACGTCCCGTACGCCCACCACACCAAGAGCCACGTCGACACGGACCTCCTGCTGCTGCCGAACGGCAACGCCTTTGGCAAGGACCGCCTCGAGGACTATGCGCGCAAGTCCGGGCTCGAGCCCGAGGTTGAGGTCAAGGATCTCAAGACGGGGGCGACGTATCATGCCGAGGAGCTCAAGAAGGTGTACATTACGTGATGTGGGATCGGGGAGGGTGAAGTGGAGCGTATCATAATGGGACACGGCGTACTTTGTTTCTTCAGGTGTGTTCAGGAAAGGTGTCACGCATGGCGTTTTTTTTATTAGCGGGATGTGAGATTGCGTTGCCAGACGACCATTCTGGGTTCGCTGTGGCGAGCGCGAATCAGCTGGAGTTAAGGGGGCAGATACATTGAATCGAACCTTTTTCGGATGACACCTGGCTGGCGCGGGAGCTGCACTTGCGAAGCATGCGAGCCCTATTTTCACGCAAAGTGACGAAAAACACCAGCAGCCCAGTCACCGCACCACGAGGTTGCGTAAAAGTCAAGCCGCTCGGCATTGCCCTACCTACCGACCAACCCGGCTACCTTTCCTTCCCGCCCTGGCTAACCTAAGGTATTCACAATACAGTACATGACAAGGGCCGCGCCGCGCCGCCCCCCCCCAATCCAGCGATCCGGCACGGGGAGACAAAGTCCAAGCGAACGACGCCTCCCTTTTCCCTTTGTCCCACCGGGCATCCTAACTCCGTGCGTCGTCCTACCGAGGAACGTCCCTACCAAAATGACGCCCCGCCCCTCCCTTTTACCCCTTTCCACGGATATGATTCGTCCCCTTCATTCGTCCGCCCTGGACCTCCGAAACCGAGAAACCGAACAAGCGTGCGCGACTGCTGCTTTCGATACTTGGATTTGTCATTTCTTTTTTATTTAATAAAAAAACTGTCTTCGGTCAGAGGGTTCAGGCGGACGACGGACGAAACACGCCGTAGCGCAGCGGAGGCCCCCTCTAGCGGTTGGCGTTGAAGGCGAAGCTGCCAAAGACGCCGCCTCCGCCGCCGGGCGTCATCGGCCCCGTGTTGAACCCGTTCGTGTTGTGCGACTGCGCGCCGGGCGTGCTGACGAGGCCGGCGCTGACCGTGTTGGGCGTGCTGGGCGTGCCGTTCTGCTGCTGGCCGTTCGGCTCGTGCGAGCCCGCGCCGCCGGCGCCGGCGTGGGTTCCCATCATGTGGCCCATGAGGAGGCCGCCGTCGGGGATGCCGAGACCCCACACCTTGCCGACGTGGTCGTCGGCAATGTCGCCGTTGAAGATCTTCTCGCGCATCTGGAAGAAGACTTTGCCCGTGATGAGCGAATCGGAGCCGGCCTGGTGCGCTGCGCCGACGCGCTTAACCTTGAGGGTCTCTGCAATGTTCTCCAGGCCTGACTTGTGCTCGAACTTTTGCAGTATCTCGCTCGTGCTGGGGTCGCTCGGCGTCAGGAGACCCGAGTTGTGCAGCCGGATGGCATGCTTCATGAGATGCTTGACGTCGTATGTCGACGGGAAGTACAGCTTCATGATGCGATCAAAGTCGACCTCGTCGCTAGGTAGGGCGCGGCAGTCCAGCAGCTTGGTCAGGTATCCGAAATCGTATCCACCGTGGAACGAGATCCACCTGACGTTATCGAAGCAGACGAGTCCCGACGGGATCAGGAGACTGGCAAAGTCGTGGGGGTCGATGCCGTCGCGCTCGAGCAGGTTAAAGTCGATGCCCGCGGTCTGCAGGGACTCGATCGACTTCTCGTTGTACATGTCGTCCTTGAGGGAAAACTTAAAGTTGAATTGCCACGCGTAAGGGAACGGTCCCTGTTGGGCGCTCCGTCGACCGGCCGGGCCAAAGTCTGCCAGGTCCGCCGAGCTCGGACGCGCGGGCGGGGTTTCGCCTTCTTCGTTGAAGAGGGCGAGACCAATCTGGATGACCTTGAGCATGTCGACGTTGGTCCGCAGGCATTGGTAGTGGTAGTCGCTCTTTCCCCTGAAGCCTCCCATTGGCCGTGACACGATACCGGGGAACTCGGTGTCCTGTCCGCGAGCATTAGAGAAAAACAACACACGTTGAACCAGAAGAACGGTCTCTTCTCTTACCATAGCAATATAAGGATACTTGTCCACCAGGTCTCTCAGCACGGCCATCTCCTCGTGGAGGTTGTGCTTCCACACCTCTCGTATCCTGCCCTTATTGTGACCGCCGCGCATGTTGGCACCGCCGTGGTCGGCGCCGAAGCCGTGCTGTCCCTGGCCATGCTGTTGTTGCTGGTGAATGTTGGCGGCCTGTTGAAAGCCCATGCGCGCAGCATGGCTGCCGAGCCCTCCTGTGTCCGCACCGACGCCGAACCCTCCGTTAAGAGCTCCGACTCCGCCGAGGACGTTACCGCCGATGGAGAAAGGGCTGCTTTGCGAGTTGGCATTGAGGTAGGAAGGGTTGCCACCTAGCGGTGGGCCGTGAGCAGCGCCATGTCCCTGGGCGTGGGAGGAGAACTGCTGGTGGTAAGAGGGCGGTATCGTGTTGGGCCCGCCAGGGTACCTGAGCGGGGGAGGCGGCATGCCAAAGTGGAAAGGTCCAAGGCAGTGACCAGCGCTATACGGACGTCGTAGGGGATGGTATCGATGAGGGCGTCCGCGATAGGGCGGGGGTCGAGGTGACCTTGGGAAATAGGTGATCGGATACGATGGACGAAGCTCGTGCGTGGAATGGTAAGCGAAACTTGGAGGTCTCTAACCGTGGGCTGTATTGCCGTGTTGGTGAAATGACTGAGGGCACTGACGACGTCCTCGGCCTTGCATTGGCGGTGGTTCGAGGGATGCAGGCTGGGCTAGCTCGCTGATGTGGCCTCGTCCCCCAGTCGTGGTGACTTGTCGCAGGTGGAGTCGTGCCGACCGTGTCGTGGAGGGATGTCGAAGCAAGGGGTCGAGGATGGCGGTGCGCGACGGTAACGATGCTCGAAGTGCGATGGGAATTGAATGCTTGTCGGTTGCTCAACCGGGATGGCTGGGCTGTGGTCCGGGGGGTTATTGTCTTTGATCGGGCTGCAATTCGATGGTTGAGGTTGAAGGAACTTGAACGAGGTCAGGGCCAGCTGACCGACGACCTTGGGCATGGCGGACTGAGGTGGTCAGTGCACCGGGCGTGGGACCCACCACAAGGCAGGATGCGCTCACGGCATTTGCCGTCGAACCGCGAACAACCTCACATCGAGAACGACCTCTGTCTAGGGCCTTTCTCTCTCTGTCCATATCGCCAACCACCACAGCGACACAAACACACCAGACACCATGCAGCCGACGAGGTGAGACGAGCACGCCGAAATCAATTGACGCATCTTCGTCCCCGCACGCCTGCTGACATCGATCGCACACAGACTACGACTTGCCGCCAAGGGCGAGAGGCCCAACATCACCGGCTTCGACATCCGCGCCCTCAAGGCGTCCACAGGCCAGCCCCGATACGACCCTTGGGAGCGAGCGTCAGTCCCTCTCAATACCACTGACGATGAGGAGCTTCCCGCTGACCAGGACATGACAGTGAGGCGTGGCGCTACACCGGCCAGTTCACCCGCTGGAACCGATTCAAGACGGGCTTCCCTGGCCTCGGCATCGCGACCGTCGCTTTCTCCGCCTACTGCGCCTACGAGTACTTCTTCCTCGACGACGGACACCACGGGGACAGCCACGGCAAGGGACACCACTGAACGGGCGGCGGGGGAGAATGTACATAAGTCTGCAGAACAACGGAGGGATCGGTCCCAGGATCTGAATCAATTTTCTTTGAGTCATGCTGACGGGAAATGCGGTGATTGATGTGGCCTCTGAACCCAGGAATTGATGGACTGCTGTTGCCAAGCAAGCGTCAACTTCATGGCCAACGGCAGCGATGGCAAGGGCGGACACAGTATCCTCCCGATCACCCACGTGGACAGTCGCTCAATTGGCGGGGCTCCCTTTCGCAAGCTCCTCAACAAGAGGTTCGACGAAGAGTAATCGCGGCACAATGTCACAGATGCCACTGTGGCAAGTGAGTACGCTCATGTCCATCTGACCAGCGCCCCTGATATGCAAGAGGGCCGTCCCGACGAAACCCCAGCATTTCGGCCGAAGACCCTCCCCAATGCGTACTGCGACGAACACCGCTAAACAAACTTGCTAGGGTCGAAAGAAATCTTCAGCGATGACCTTGAACTTTGTGGTTGGCCAAAGGGGGGAACAGATTAAGCCGCACTGCAATTCCGCCCAACACAAGCATCATCCAGAAAGACTCCTAACTTCGGAACCCTCTTAACACCTCGTATCTCAGTCAAATACTCTGAAATTCCACCTACTAAATATTCGGCGACATCATTAAGGGCAAATGCGTTTTTATCAGTTTTGAGCTGATATAAAGTACAGTAGGACGGTTCAAAGTAAGGTTACCTCTAAGGAGTGTGGCTTTTTTGGCCCCCCCTTGTTGGCTTACGGGGATTCGTTCAGCCTTGGTGCGTCCCTGCAGCGATTTCCGGCTATGCATTGTGAATCCCCCCAGAAAACGTTTCGATGGAGAATCAGCACCGACCACTCCGAAGTTCGCATTGTAGTCCAGTCCGAAGTTGTATGAACGGCAAAATCCAAAGCCTGATCAACATGTATTTTAGCAGGTAGTTGTAAGAGTACGGGGACCCCAACAGCGACGGCCGACTTCGCTTCGAACTTTCGTTCCTGGCCGTCCTTCAACAAGCACAATCCGACGGGTCATCACTGGACGAGGAGCGACCGAAACGACAGGCTACTGATTGGACGAGCCTCACATAAGGTTCTTCGGTCATTGAAGCCCACGTCACTGCTACAGGTCATGAATTTATGTCCATGTTGTGTTGCTAAGGTATAATGTTATGTCGTGTGACGGCCAGGCTCTGAGGCCAATGTATCTGTGTGCCATGAGTTCCAATGCTTAAACCCCCGACCGAATGGCTAGAAACGCCCCCCGCCCCTGGTGGTCGGCCTGTTGAGCCGGCCCCCTTGAATGATCCCAACGCCGTCCAAACTCAAAACCACGCACACCCAATTTACAAACGAATCCCGTGCACGGCATCCAAGGCCGCGTCCACGCACGTCTCGAGCTCGGCAACCCTAATCTTCAGGCCCCGGTTCTCGTCCCTGAGCAGGCTCGCCGTGTCCCACGCAGCACGCTCGTCCTGCCCCTGACACCTCTGGCACGCAGCGCCAGCCTGGCCGGCCGCCGCATCGCCGAACCCTCTCATCAGCTTCTGGAAGGCGCTGATCTGCGGCTGCGACTGCATCGAGTTGCGTGAAGAGGCATTCCTGTGCGAGGACTGCTGGGCATCCAGGCCCAGCGGGTGGGCGGCGAGGGTGGGACTCCTCGACCGCGAGAAGACGCTGGGCGCGTCGCCAACGCTCTCCTCGTCCGTGTCCTCAGTGATGCTCTTGCGCCAGAGGCGGCGCTTCTGGTCGTCTTCGGCGCCGAGGTCCTCCGACGTGATGGTGGCGCTGTCGGACGCTAGGCCGCTGCGGTTCGCGGCCTTCTCGCGCTCAAGGGCGGCCATGAGGGCCTGCATTTCCTTCTCGCGCTCGACGGCCTGGAGCGCCATGTTCTCGAGCTGTAGCTTGAGGTGCTTGGTTCGCGTGTCGGCCTCCTCAGCCTCCTCGGCTTGAGTGTCACGCTCGACTTCCATTTCCCGCAATGCGGCGCTCTGCGATTCGTATGCATTTTGAAACTTGGTCAGGAGCGCAACGGCCGTCATCTCGAGGTTCTTAAAGGCAGCGGGTGAAAAGGCGTCGCGAGACCCAGCAGGCGAGGCGGAAGGAGGGAAAAGGGCGTCGTGAATGTTCATGTTCAGCAGCTCGTCGTCATGCTTCGCTTTCCGCGTTGGTGAGGTGGCAGACT